CGCTTTCTGTCTCTCTGTCTCTCTGTCTGTTGAGCGCACGTGCCCTATAGTGAAAATCTCTCCAAAAAAAAAAAAAAGCGTATAGGAAAGGATTTATTTTTAAATGGAACAGAAATATGGAAGCTATTGTATGACGAGCAGTTTAGGAAAAGGGATTGCTTTTTGACTTAATATCCAAGTCAAGAATCAATGGAACAAACTTCTTGAGGGCAAGGTAATTGTTTCTTTTTAGGGAATATTCTATTGATCAGAACAATTGGATTGCTATTTTTTTCTTACATTTTTCAAAATCTAAAATATTTTTATTAACATACTACTGTTATTAAGGAGTTTTCCCTCAATTCTCTGTCTTTTTAAGGTTCTTTTTCTCCTTATTTTGTTTGAAGACCTTTGTTTCCGACCTGTTGATTTGATGGATTTGTTTATGAAAAAAGTAGAAGAAGAACCTGAATCCCTAACGGTGAAAAACATTGTTTCTATTCTTCACGTGTATTCTTCTCTGAATCACTTCTATAAGTGCCAGAACAAAGAGTATGTATTTGTTTCTTTTATTTTTTACCACATAGCATACTTACAGAAAAGATTACAAGTCATAAGTTTAAACAGCCATTAAAAATGAGCACATCCATAGCCATTGTCATGTGAAGAAATAAAAAAGTGTCCTTACTCATTTATGTTGTTAAACAGAATTTTTGCTATTCTATGTCATGTTTGTTTCTTTATTCTTTTTATTTATTTATTTTTTTTTGAGAGGTGTTTGCTATAGGGCACATGTGCTCACCCCAGAAAGACAGAGAGAGACAGAAAGTGAGAAATCACCCCCACCCCCTGGGGGGGATGATCACGCCACAATCCCCTCTCCTCCATTCTCCTCTCGGGATCTTGGGCATGCATGCACACGCACCCAGCGTGAGTTTAAGCCACTGGGTCTGGGACCCAAACTGCAGTCGAGTACATGGGAGTCCAGTGACACAGCCATTATGCCAACTGCTGGTCCCTCTTTGTTCTCTATAATAGATTTTTTTCAATTCTGTATAGGAATTGTTTTGTTTTGTTTCGTTTTTGCTATATGGCACATGCGCTTGCCAGAGAGAGAGAAAGAGAGAGGGAGGAGGGAAAGTGAGAAATGATCTCCTCTAGAGGGGATGGCCCCATTGCAATTCCTTCTCCCAGGATTTTGGGCACACACACACACACGCACACACACACACACACGCACACACACAAACTCAAGTGTAATTCTCAAGCCACCAGGTCCAGTACTCATACTAGGATACTAGGTAGTTGGCTGTGTGAGATCAAGCACCTTAACCTCCACACCACCTGCTGACCCTCAGTACAGGTGTTTTTAAATTCTCCCAATGGGTATCTCTAGCTTCTCAGTTCATATTTCAGGTTTTGGTTTAGTTTTTTTTTTTTGTTTTTTTTTTAACTTTATGAAAAAGCTGAAAAATAAATTTAAATTTTTTTTATTATTGTGGTAAGAACACTGAACATAAAATGTACCTTAACATATTTTTAAGTATATATATAATGTTGTTAACTCTAGGTGCAGTGTTTACAGTGAGTCTCTAGGAGTTAATGGTTTTGTGTAACTGAAACTTGAAACCTGTTAGAAAGCAGCTCCCTATTTCCCCTCCCCTTACCCCTGCACCACCTTTCTGCTCTCTGTTTCTGCATTTGACTTTGGTAGGTGCCATACAGGTGTGACTGTGCAGTGTTTGTCCATCTGTAACTAGTGTATTTCACTTAGCATGATGTCCTCCAGGTTCATCCACGTACCGTTTGGCGGGATCTCCTTTATTAAGGCTGTATAGTATTTCACTGCACACCACATTTTCTTTACCCATTTATCTGATGGTGGACATTTAGGTTGTTTACAAATCTTGGCTATTATGAATAATGCTGCAATGAACATGAAAGAAAAGAGATCGTGCTGAGATCCAGGGTTTGTCAATTTATTTTCAAAACACCAATTCTTTTTTTTTCTGTTTCCACGAAAATAGAAACTATTCTGTTTTCCTGTTCTCTATTTCATTTATTTCTATTCTAATTTTTATAATTTTCTTTCTTTTGCTACCTCTGGGGAGAACATGTGCACTCACTAGAGAGAGAGAGTGGGAGAGGGAGAAAGTACCCTGCAGTGGGACATGGTTGTGTTGGAATCCCTTCTCTTCCACATTTCCAACCTGTTTGGATTTTTGGCATGCATACGCATGTGCCTGGTGTGGTTTTCAAGCTGCTGGGGCCAGGATTCAAACAATCGTCAAATCAGGCTCTTTTAATCAGTAGGCTATGGAGATATATTTTCAACATACATTTTCTAAATTCCCTTTTGATTTCTTCCTTAACCCACTGGTTGTTTAAAAGTATGTTGTTTAATTTCCGTGTATTTGTAAATTTTCTAGTTTTCCTGTTGACTTCTATTTCATTTCATTGTGGTTGGAAAGGATACTTGGTATGATTTCAATCTCAAATTTGTTAAGATGTCTTGATAAACGGACATGATCTGTTCTCAAGAATATTCCGTGTGCATTTGAGAAGAATGTATATTCTGGTGGTGTTGAGTGACATGTTCTGTGTATGTCTTTTGTATCCATGTGCCCATAGTTGATCAAGTCCTTTGTTTCCTTATTGATTTTTTTTAATCTAAACATTCCATTCATTACTGAAAGTTGCATATTGAATTCTCCTGCGTATTAAATTACTTTCTATTTCTCCCTTCAGATATGTCACTTTTTGTTTTATGTATTTAGGTGCCCTGATACTGGCTGCATATATATTTATAATTGTTATACCTTCCTGATGAATTGATCCTTTTATCATAATACAATGACCTTTATCTCTTGTGATAGTTTTTGACTCATAATCTATTTTATCCACTGTAAGTAGGACCACCCCTGTTCTCTTTTGGTTGTCATTTGCATAGAATATCTTTTTTTATCCCTTCACTTTTAGACTATGAGTGTCCTCAAATTTGATTGATTGATTGATTGGAGAGACTTTTGCTGTAGGGCATGTGTGCTTACCAGAGAGACAGAAAATGAGAACTCATGCCCTGGGAGGATGGCTATGCAGCAATCCTTTTTGCTCCATTCCCCTCTCGGGGTTTTATGCACACATATACGCCCAGTGTGAATTTTAAGCCTCTGGGTCTGGGACTCAAACCACTATCAGATACATGGGAGTACAGAAACATACCTGTTACACCACATGCTCGTCCCAGTGTCTTTAAAGTGAGTTTCTTAAAGACAGCACACAGTTGTGCTATTTTTTATTTTTGTAAATCTATTCAGCCACTTCATGTCTTTGGATTAGGGAATGTAATACATTTAGGTTGGATGTAATAATCGATAGAGAAAGACTATTGTCATTTTGTTTGCTGTCTTTAATTTCTTTTTTTTTTTTTATTTCCTGTCCTTTCTTCTCTTGTTGTATTCCTTAGTCAGGCATAAAAAGCTCTATATGATTCATCGTTTATTTTTCCAGCCTCATGTCCTGCCACTAAACTCCCCGCCCTCACCACCCTTCCCTAGACCACCACATACTCAACTTGCTCCCTACCTTCCACTCAGACACACAAATTCATCATGCCGTACTTTAGCCACACCAAGCTACTTTCAGCTCTCGAACTAAGCCAGACTTTTCTTCTGTGGTGGGAGAAGACAGGAAAGGTGGCTACCACCCAGGCTCCAGATTGCATTGTCTGTATATCTGCTACATACTCCAAATGCAGTCATTTAATAAGTTTAAGAAGTGCTGCCTCACTGTTGTCTAGAATCTATTATATTCCTCCTATCCCATCATAATGCCCACAGTTCTCCTGACCAACTAGGCCTTCCTCCCTCCCTGACCCATTGTGCCCCTACCAATGGGACCTCTTAGTTGATTGCAGACATTTGCCCTGACAGTCTCTTTCTTTCTTCTTTCCTCCCTCTCCCCTCCCTCTTTCTTTCTTTTCTTTATTTTTATTTTTATGCATTTAATCACTGTGTATCATTACAGCTTACCAAATGAATTTTTCCATTATGACTGCATATTGGTCCAGTCAAAGACATTACTATAAACAAGATCATCAACATTTTTCTTTCCATTTTGGTTCCCTTAAATTTTTTGCTTCTTTCTTCTTTCCCTCTATTCTTTCCCTCTCACCGTCCCCCATTCCCACTCTCCTGCACTATTGTCTCCATTCTCATTATTAATACAGGCTGTCTTCTGTGTGTAACATTACCTCTAGGTGGTAGGTTAGACTTACAGTTCTCTTAACGTAGAGTATTGACAGCTCGGGAACTTTAATTGGTCATAGAACTGCAGTGTTGGTCTAGACCTTGTAGAAAACCAAACATAATGATTAGATGGCTCTGGAGCTTGACAGTTTGGGTTCCACTACTATCTATACTACTTTCTAGCTGTGTATCTGTGGGTAAGTTACCCAACTTCTCTGAGCCCGTTTACTCATCTTTATTGTGATGATGATGATAATAGTAATACCCCATAGAGTTTTAGCAGGAATTAAATGAGTTAGAGCTTATAAACCATTCATTCCTTGCAAGACATATGCAGTAGCCAACATTGCTGAGTGTGTACACTTGTTATGAGATTGCCACCTGTCTGGAACGGTCTGTCTTTGAATCCCTTAAAGATATATTGATTCTATCACAGCTAGCTCTACCACAGCCGTATTTTCTATATATATATATATTTTTTTTTCTACCTTTATTCTATGATGGACTGTGTGAATGCACATATGAAAAAGAGAGAGGGGAGCACTCTCCCCAGGGCCCAGTCATGTCCCTTCCTCCAGCCCTCCAGCCCATTAGATTTTGGGCACTTGCACGGATGCCTGGCATATTTCAGACCAACCTTGCCATGCCAGCAGTTCGAACCTTGGTCATCAGGTAGGATCTTGCTTCTTTTGAGCAGTGCATTACCACTGCACCTTCTATTTATATTTGAAAACTGACTTTTCTTTGTTTTCCAGAGAATTCCTAGAAGTTATGGCTAGTGCTCTGACTGGTTGTCTTCACAACATCTCTTCTGAAAACCTGTTGCATGCTGTATACTCATTTGGTCTGATGAATTACTTCCCCCTGGCTCCTGTTAATCAGCTTCTCCAAAAGGATATCGTCACTGAGTTGCTGACATCAGGTAGCATACTGGTGCACAGTGGTGACAGAAATAAGGCACTACCACCAGCTACCCTATGAATGGGGTCTTAGAGCAGTGTTTGTTAAGACATGTAGACTGGATGCTACCGAGGAAGGGACTGATAATGACAAAGTCAGTGCTTCAAACCTGTAAACTTATAGGGCTTTCTTTAATGATAGATCCTACATATAGAAGAAAAGAAGGACAAATGCATGTTGCTTTTCCTTTTATTTACACTTTATACACCTATACAAAGGCTAAATGTTCAAGTTGCTTTTTATGCCACGAGAAGAAATATTTGTATTTCTTAGTCCTTACATATCATGTTTGAAGCCAATGTAAATCAACATTTGTAGCTGTAAATACTTGATTAGTTGTGGCCTATAGTTAGGACATAGCTTGATAGATCAAGAAACCAAATAGCTTTCAAATTAGTGAATTTATTTACTCTTAGAACCAAATTAATCATTGAATTTTAGTCTTTAGTATTAAACAAGGAAAAGCAATATTTGGGTAGATGTATGAATTTTAATAGTTAATGTTCTTTTTTTTTAATTTATTTGTTATCATCATAATCTTATTTATATTACATTGAATCACATATAACTTTACAGTGTATTACATTTCTTTTTCCAGAAGGAATACCATGCATATCAGTCAATACAGAGACATTAAAATCCCCATTTCATCATCCAATAGTTAACGTTCTTTTATAAACAATGCCAAATCCCAAAATTGAGTTGTGATGAATTAGCACCACATTGGGTAAACAGCCTTGAACTTAAGAAACCTTACCCCCCAACGTTGCCTTAAATTAATCATGTTAATCATGAAGCTATTTTTCTTTTCTTTTTCTTTCTTTTTTTTTTTT